GTTTTTGAATAATAAAAAAAAGTTTTATCAGACGAATTAAAAATTGATCTATAGAAAATGTAGAGAAAATAATTGCGGTTTTTTCGAGCTATAGAACTCCTAGAAATGTCAAAAACTGAAAGAGGAGTGAGATTTTTTCTGTAAAAAACTTTCAAAATGACCATTTTTGACATTTTTTTCTTCCGGAAAACGACCATACATGAATCTATAACCACTAATTAATTTTTTAAAAATCATTTGAATCATCTTGGAACTCCACAAAATCAGATAAAAAACTCTGAAATTATGGTTTTAGACCTGCAATTGTGATCGCGCCAAACATTTTTCTGTAGATCAAAAATTAATTTGCAGTTCGGAATTGTTCTGTGGGAGAGCGTGAACTAGACAGGTGATTGGGAAGGTTGCTTTGAATCGGATACTGTATGATCTGAGTTGGAGACTATTTATTATCGGAATACAGAGACTTAATAATCAGCACTTTCGCGAAAAAATGTTGGTAAACAGCTGATACTATACTAGAGATGTTATCGATCCCATTTTTACCAACTCGGTTCAGAAAATTCCCCTAAACTTGAAGACAATTTCATTTCATCTGCTTACGTTTTTCGACAGAGCTTCGTAAATCGACCGTCTATTTCAACAGTCAGGTTGTTTTCAATAAAGTGTGCTTTAAAGTTTTTTATTCCATGAAAAACAAAAATCGGGAAACAATTAACGAAAAAGAGACGAAAAATTACACTATACACTTTACCCTTGTTTGATACTTGTGTGGATTAGCGAGAGACAATAAATATGTGACAACTACAATCCAACGAAATACTCATTATCATCATTATCTAGTAGAAAGAAGAGTCTTAAAGAAAATCACATAAATTTTTGGGGATGGGAGAGAATGGAGATGAAGGAAGAAAAAAGCAAGACGTTTTTGGAGAACCGAAAATTGAATTTATATAAATTAGAAAAAAAAATAATTAGAGGTGTGTAAATTGGCCTAGTCGATGAGCTTCTTCGACTTGAAATAGTTTCGCAAGAAGAGCACTTGCCAAATGGCGAGACCGAGAAGGCAGAGCATCGAGAAGATCGAAAGATAGAGGACGCGGCTGTTTGTCGATTCTGAAAAAATAGAATTTATTGAGCTAGAATTTGAAAGGCAATTTTTTGAGACCCCGCAAATTCCGGGGAAAAAACCGGGGAAAGTGGGCGGAGTCGAGAAAAACCGTGCGGCAAAACCGTGCCAGGGTTGCAATTTAGGCTCCGCCCCCTCATGACCGTGTCCAAATGTGCAGAAAAACCGTGCC